ATCATAAAAGGCTTGTAATCTATATTATATAAACAACTTGGACACCTCTTTACATTTTGTGTGTGTTTGTATGTATGGGCCTGTATGTGTGTCTAAGCATAGAGTTACTTATCTCTTTTTGTTGGTACTCTAAAATAATTTTTTGTGTAAATATAACTAAAAATGTATCACAGATAGGAATATAAAAGTTAAACTAAAAAAACTCAAAGAAAACAATGGACTAAACCATTATTACTTTGAGTTGTACAGTTCTTTTAGAAGTGTTTCCAGAAACACAAATTTAAAAATCTACAAATCATATGAACTGAGTTACATAAAAATTTAATGCTTTCATGCTGTGATACTGTCAAGATAGTGAAACACTGACCCACAGAATGGAAGACAGTATTTGAAAATTATGTATGCACACATGCGTTATGTGTGTTTCATAAAAGGCTTAAATCTATAATATATAAGCAACCTTTGCAACTCCTTACACTTTCCTGTGTATCTAACCTTAATGTTACTTTTTCTCTTGTTGTTATCCTATAAACAATTTTGTGTAGAATTGACTTCATCTTTCTTTAAATTCTAGATTATTCTTATCTGTATTCAAAAACATTCTCATGTCTTTTTTCCAAATATTGTAACTTCTATGTTGTTTTGTTTTCTATTTTTATAGCTATTTTCTCTAAATATATGTTTTTCCTGCTTAATTCTGAAGCAAATTGTCAGTCTGATCTTCTAACTTACTGAATTTTTATCTGCTATATCTGTTTTTCTACCTATTCCTTTGCGAGAAGAGCAAATACAGCGGGAGAGTAGCCAAGTCTGATTTCTGCTTGCTTTAAGGGGAACTGTCCTCATCATAATATCCATAGTTCCAAAGAGCTCCTTGGTCAGACATGCCACCCTACATGCTCCTGCACCTATTTCTACCAGTCATTTGAGCCCAATACTCATTGTTGACTCATAGACTTTACTCACAGTTGTAAGGCTTATTAGGGAAGTAACTTGGAGAGCATAAGAGGTAAGGAATATCACCCAGTGCAAGTTCAGATTTAGTCCAGCAGTACCAAGCCACATTAACAAGGCAAAATTCTTCAATTAGTGAAAGTCCAGGTTCACTTCAGCAGCACAAATGGAGGAAGCCTCTGCTTTCATCAGTCATCCAAAAGCATTGTCTTGGAGCAGTTCTAAGTCAGATTTTCCTCTTACCATCCAGCAAACAAACCTTTAACTGTGGCCTTTATCTTCAGATTCCTCTGGTTACACCTTGCTACCGTCTTTTCACCCTCTCTCCGTCACCATCATTTCTGGGGTACCTCACAGTGTAGAAAGCTCAAGCTTGCTAGTTAGCTCTCATGTATGCACTCTCTCTCACTCTCTGTCTCTGTCTCTCTCCCCAATTAAGATCTCTGGAGACTGTCCACCTACCCAGTGGGACTTAACATAATGGTTAGAAAAGTCTTTTTTTGTTTGTTTTTTGTTTCTGACACCATAGCCAGTTCCTGGCTTCTCTAACCATTCCCTCTCATCTGAAGGGCCAGTCTTCCCTTTAGCATCATATGTAAGCTACCTTACAGTCGTTATGTCTTAACCCTACCATTTTAGATAGTCAATTTCTGATTTTCCCAGTCCTATCAAACCAGCACTCTGAGGAAACAAGCATGTGTTTTTCTCTGAAGAATCTTCTTTTACAGTTGAAATTTACAGCATCTATAAATGGAGGTCCAGTCCAGAGCAAACCATCAAGTAACAGTAGTCAACACCAGCTGTCAGAATGAAACATCTTCTCTTCATCTGGTTGAGTTCCAGCCAATACATCCCCAGCCATGCGTGGCTAGGCGCAAATTGGGCATCAGCTTCAAGGGCCGGAGTCCACACATCTGCCTGTATTTTAGACCAGCTGCAACCACTCAGGCCACACAATTTTAGCCACACGTGGACAAGACCAGGGATCCGCAGGTCTCTCTGCTCCACAAACTCTTTCTGCTGCTCCTTCACTTATCCATTGATCATGCTAGGTGGACAGTGCTGAGGGAACAAGTCCAAAGTCAGCCTGTCCCTTCATTATTGTCTATCTCCCACTTCCACTCATCAGCTAGACCCAGTCAATCACCACGAATTAAGCATCAGTTTTATCTTGCCTCAGTTTCATTGTCAAAGTCTGTCTTTTTCTACTTGTCTTCTTTCAGATATAACTCTCTTCATAGTACTGGGTGGGGTTTAATCTTTCTTAGGCTAAGCTCCACACTCTGTACTAAACTCTACTACTTGCTACAAACATTCTTTTAGAGCAAAGTTCCCCTTTTAAAATATCCGTAATCTACAATAGATATCTCAATATAACAATATCTAGTATAATTTAATACTCAATAAAGCCCTTAATCATATTTATAATATATCTTATATCCTTCATATTCATCTTTACAATATATCCAAACATTATGTCATAATTTTTTTAAAACCATTATACATAAATTTTTAAAGAAATTCTCAAATGTTATGGCTAGAAAAGCCAATTTTCAAGGTTTATGACACCAACCCCTTAAACTTTCCACATTGTATTTTATGCCAAATGTGCTGTAAGTACATTATGCTTCTTTTGAATTTTTATTTCCATTTTTCTACTTCATAACCAGTGAGTAACACCAGCAATCAGAAAATCAAAACATGAATTGCATTAAGTAAATCTGCTGTCAGGGACCTCTCCAGAGTACTGTCTATGAAGCAATAGTGGCAGTCTAGAGACTGAGGTGCACCTGATCAAGGCCATGGTTTTCTCACTTACTTGCTATGTATGAGAGAACTGGACAGTGACTAAGAATGACAGAAGAAGAATTGACACCTTTGAGTTGTAGTGCTGGAGAAGAGTATTGAACATACCATGGACCGCCAAGAAAACAAATGGGTCTATGTTGGAGAGAGTGAAAAGCTAGAATTCTGAAGCCCCATCTCACATACTTTGGGTATGTGGCCCGAAGGGACAGATCCTTGGAGAAGGACATCATGCTCGGGTGGCTGGAGGGACAGTGCAGAAGAGGTAGACCTTGGATGAGATGGATTGATTTCAGTAACTGGAGCAATGGGGGTTAGTGTGTCAGAATTAATAAAACTGGCTCAGGACAGAGCAGGGCTCAGAGCTGCTGTACACAGGGTCACTGTGAGTCACGGGCAATTCAGCACATAACAAAAACAATATCAACCAGCGAGTGAGTTTATGAGTATGGAGAGAAGAGAAAAGTAGACACGAGTGCTTTTATGCACACCTTTACCATATGCTGGTCCTGTGCTACTAATATGGGGGATACATGGTAAATGATAGCTCTAGTGGCCTAGTGGTAAGAAGCTGCATTGAAGTACCAAAGACACACTGTTCAAATCGACCAGCTACTCTACAGGAGAAGGATGGGCAGTCTCCTATCATGTGATTTACTGCCTCTGAAAACCCACATGGAGTCAGCTCCAGCTTTATGGTATGTAACAGCCACCACCATCCCATGTAGTAAGTACAAAATAACTTAGCAAGTGGATAATACTGTTAGGGAAATAAGAATAATGCCAATTAGAAAACATTAGGGGGGAAAATGTGATTTATATATAAAAAATTCACTCATATAGTACTTGTGCAAATAAGATTAGCTGTAGACATACTGCTAGAGAAAAGTATTGAGCATACCATGGACCACCCAGAGAACAAACAAGTCTATCTTGGAGAAGGTGAAACCAAATTTCTCCTTGGAGGCTAGAATTTTGAAGCTCTGTCTCACACATTTTGGGCATGTTTCCAGGAGTAAGCCATCTTTGGAGAAGGACATCATGCTTAGAAAGGTAGAGGGATAGTTCAGGAGAGGAAGACCCTCCCTGCATGAGATGGATTGTAACTAGGATAATAAGGGTAGATGTGTCAGTGAGACTGGCAGTATTCAGAGCAATTATGGGGTAGTTGTGTCAGAAACAATTAAGATTGGCACAGTAAAGAACAGGGCTTAGGGCTATTGTAGATAGAGTCGCTATGAGTTGCAAGTGACTTGATAGCACATAACAACAACAACATTATTGTATGTAGGGTCACTGTGAGTTGCAGGCGGCTTGAAGGCATATAATAACAACAACAACATAGATGTTCTAGGGAGCTGTGGTTCCATAGTCTTTAAGGCATTCCACTGTTAACCCAAAGGCCCCACCGCTCTAGTGCTTGTAGCCCACTAGGGACTCCACAGAGAAAGACAGACTATCTCCTATGCAGTTGAAGCCTTGGAAACCCAGTGGACAGTCTACTATGAGTTATTTCCTACTCAACAGCAATGAAGGAGAGAGTGAGAGAGAGAGAAACACTAGTAGACTAAATCATAGACGGCAAACTGTAATGCAGTTGCCAAGGAGTTACAGAAATGGATCTTGGATAACAGACGGTTGAGTGTGTCTTCCATTGTGTTATGGAGACAGGACAGTGAATAAGTACACAGACTAAACAGCTAGATGGCTGAGATTTAAATGCAGCTCCAGGTTAACAAACTTCTTGGTGTATCATTATCCTCATCAGGGTAACAAGGGTGAAAGCTCAGAGGTTGTAAAGCAGGGCTCCTCTGCCTTTGCCCACTCCAAATTAAAGGTAATATTAATTATGTATCACTGAGATATTAAGATAGGAAGACAAGATGTATACATTTCCAGGAGCAAGAGGAGAAGAAGGGGTGAAAGCACAGAATGGTAACATAGAAATAAAAAGGTCTAAGTACTTGTTTCATTCCTGAGACTGTTCTGTTTCTTATGTCCCCAGAACCTTGCACAGTGTGTGGTGTACAGTAATTCCTCAGTAAAGTTTAGTTGAATAACTAAATCCTTTTTTATGTATGATTTTAAATGCAAATCTATTAAATAATACCTTTTATGTGTCTCAAAATTTATTTGAATTTTTCAAAATAAAAAATTTTTGTTTGTTTTTTTCAGGTTTTCTCTGTAACTAAAAATAATCTTTTTAAGAATTTGTGACTATTTCCTTTTTATTTTCCCAGGCCAGTTGGAATGCCAAAAATGGAAAAAGTTTACTTACATAATCCTAGTTCTGAAGAAACCATTACTTTAGTGTCAATATCTGCTACAACATCACATTTTCATGCATCATTTTTTCAAAATAGGGTAAGTTTCTCTTCTATGGATGGTTTTTCTTGACCTTGAAATGTTTTGAAATGTTTACATTTTTAATGTCTGTAATAATGGACTCAGACAGCAACGATTGTAAGCACAGCAGAGACAAGTCACTATTCTATTCAATGTGTACAAGGTCTCTGTTAGTCAGAACCCACTAAACAGCACCTAACAATGACATCTTTATTGATCATTTTATTTTGCTGCTGTCCTAGTATGTTTGAATGTTTCATATTTATTCTTGTATTTCAGTTTGTCCTAATTTCTAGGAACTATATCTTTAAATATACATTGTTTTTCTCAGTATGAAACAGCTTTTCAGAATTAACATTTGCAGCTGTGAACCTTAAACAACCTGAAGCATTTTATATTCTTATATTCTGCTTATTTCCTCTTTCTTCTTAATAATAGAGGGTTCTTCAGCATTTTATCAGTTTCATATTGTTGTTGTTATATCTCATAGAGTCGACTACAACTCCTAACAACTCTGTGAACGATAGCCCAAACCCTGCCCTGTCCTCAGCTAGTCAGTCTCTGACACACCTGCCCACTGTGTCGATCCATCCCATCCAGGGCCTTCATCTCCTGTCTGACCCTCCTGGTAACATACCCAAAGATGGAGCTTCACAGTCCTTACCTCTGAGGAGCAACATGGATTCACCCTCTCCAAAACATACCTGTTTGTTTTTTTGACCGTCCGTGGTTTATGTTCAGTACTCTTCTCCAGCACCAGAACTTACAGGCATTGGTTCTTCTGTTATCTTTAGTCCAGCTCTCAGAGGCACAGCAAGTAATTGAGAAGATATGATTTTGATCAGGTGCACCTTAGTCTCTAGACTCACATCGCTGATCCTAAGCACTCTGGAGAGGTCCCTGACAATAGGCTTTCCCAAACCAACTCATCTTTTGATTTCTGAACTGCTGGTGCCAAAAGTGTTGATTGTAGATCTGAGCAAGATGAAATTTATCATATTTATCAACAGCCTCAATATCTTCTCTATCATGATGTTGGAAATTAGCCTGGTGGTGATAATCTTTGTCTTCTTGATGTTGAGATGTATCGATATTGAAGATTACAGTCCTTGATCTTTTGCAGAAAACACTTCAGGTCATCCTCAGTTTCATCAAGCAAGGTTGTGTCATCCGCATAATGCAAATTATTGATGAATCTTTCTCCAATCCTGATGCCATATTCCTCTTCGTAAAGTCCAGCCTCTCAAATGATCTGTTTCACTGTAGATTGAAAAAATATGGGGAAATGACCCTTCTAAGAAACATTCCTGATTTTGAACCATGCAATGTTTCTAGCTCTGTTTGTATAGTTGCTTCTAGTCCAAGTGTAGGTTTCACATGAGGGCAATCAAGTGCTTTAGGATTCCTGTTCTTCTCAAGGTCAGCCACAAGTTGTTGTGATCCCTACAGTCAAATGACAATGTCATTCCTCAAAGCTGTTTGACACTCAGAAAAACAAAGCGTATTTAAAGATATAGTTCCTAGAAATTAGGACAAATTGAAATACAAGAAGAAATATTGAAACATTCAAGCATAGTCTGATGGCAGCAAAATAAAATAATCAGCTAAAGTGTCAGTGCCTTTGCAGAATCAATAAAACATAAATAACTATTCTTCTGGTACTCTGCTTTCAGACAGGATCCATTTGATGTTGGCACTGATATGCCTAGTGCCATAGCCTCTTGTAAACACTGCTTGTATTTTCGGCAAGTTTATGTCTATATCCTCTTTGAGTTGGTGTTGAATAATCTTCAGCAAGATTTTGCTTGCAAGTGATACTGGATAATTGCAAGTGATGTTGGATAATTTAATCATTCTGTAGAATCGCCTTATTTGGGAAGGGGAATATGTAACAACAAATTGCTTCAAGTTAATAACTTAAAGCAATGCCCACTTATTAGCACATGGCTGTGTAAATCACAGCTTCAGCACTGTGAGTCAAGCTCTCTGCTCAGGACACCACAGGGCTGAAATGAAGATGGCAGCTTAATTCGGTCTGTGCCTGGAGTTTCTGGCGAGAAGCCCACCTCTGAGCTTATTCAGGTTGTTGGCAGAAGTTACTAGTTCTTTCCAGTTTTAGGATGGAGGTCCTCATTTCCCTGTTGGCTGTGAGTCAGGACCCCACCTCATTGCCAACTGTCAGCCAACACCTAGGCTGTTTGTATTCCTTCTCACATGACCCCCACCATCTTTAAAACCAATAACTGTTCGTCAGATCCTTTTTGTATGTCGTCTCTGACCTCCTTTTCTGCCATCAGCTAGAGAGAATTCTCAAAGAGTTTATTTAGTTATACCTACTTGGATCACCTTTTGATTAATTTATAATCACTTGGTTAGTAACTTTAAAAACATGTAGTAGACTGTTTTTTAGTATAGAGACACAGGTAGCCATCAGTGTGATACCATATTCATAACACTAGAGATTGTTGTTATGTGCCATCAAGTCACTTGAGACTCATAGTGATCCTGTGGACAACGGCTCTGAAGCCTGCTCTGAGCCAGTCTCACAGACTCCAGCACACCTGCCCCCATCTCCCCAGTTAGTGTCAGTCCATCTCATCTGGGGCCTTCCTGTCCTGCACTGTCCCCATACCCTTCCAACTATGACATCCTTCTCCAAGGACTGAACCCTCCTGGCCAGATACCCAAAGTATTTGAGATGCAGCTTCAAATCCTTGCTTCTCACAGAGATTTGAACACCATTGTTCATAGCATTATTTACTATCATAAGAACTTGGAAACAACCCAAATGTCCAACCACAATTGAATGGATTGAGAAATTGTGGTACATTCACTACGCAACATGAAAGAACAATGATTTTGAAAATCACTACCTGACTTGGGAGGGACTAGAGAGCATTATGCTAAGTGAAGTAACTCAGTCCCATATTGACAAATACTATGTAAGACCATTTTTGTGGAAATGGATGAATAGTAAAACAAATAGGAGAATCCAAGGAGGAGTGTAGGAGCAGAGGGGTGAGGATGGGCACCGGAGTAATCATAGACTCGCACAATTTGATGGGTAGAGGGAAGGGTGGTTAAAGGAAATGAGAAAGATCTGGTGTGGAAAATAACATATCTGAACTTTGTGAGGAAACCACTATATAATGAAAGTTTTATTAAGGGGGGGGGAAAAATTCTTGCCTCCGAGGAGAAACTTGGTTTCACCCTCTCCTAGACAGACATTTTTTTTTCTCTTGGCAATTTGTGGTGTGTTCAGTACTCCTCTCCAGTACCACAACTCAAAGGTATAGATTCTCCTACTGTCATCAATAGTCATTGTCCATCTCTCTGATGAATAGCAAGTAATTGGAAAGACCATGACCTTGACCGAATTGTTCATTAGCACTCTGGAGAGGCTGTGACAGCAGATTTCCACAATGCAATTCGTCTTTTGGTTTCTTAACTGCTGGTAGGAAAATTAAACCAAATCCACAGGAGCCAAAATATGACTTTGATTTCATACCACCTGAATTTCAGAATCATCTCAGGAACAGGTTTGAGGCCT